GTGCCCAAAGAGGTGGTAGAAACACTCCATCTGGGGGTGAAATCCGCACCCGTCACCGCTTTCACATGCTCCATACTGATTCAGAAAGCCAGGTGGCCATTAAATTGCATGTTAAGAAACTCCTGACCAATGGTTGATCTAGGGTTCCCGCAGCTGAAACGGTTTCGGCGCTGCGAAAAGCGGAAAGTCGCTTTTTGTTCAAGCGAACCTTTCGTAGACCACCTCATTCTAAATGAGCGAATTTTCCAGCTTTTCATCGAAAATTTACCAGTGGTAATCCGAGAGTATCAGTCTCACACCTACGCTCCAAGCGCTTACTTTGTCGGAGTTAGTTTGGCTGATGTGAGATAACTATTGCATTGTTTTGTTATAATATTAACTGTACAGCAATTATTGTTATCATTATTTACCACATACTTCTTTTTAAATATGCATATAATCAACACAATGTGAGAAAATAACACAAGATCGAGTATCATTTACCGATTAGGCTTTATTTAAGGTTACGCAGTATGTTATATTTCCTACAATATACTCGTTTATTGTATACACCCTAGCAGGTATAGTTACCATCCTGTTATAATACATGCACCTGAGGTATTATCCAGTATAGGGGAGCATGTGGTGCGACAGGTTCATATTGCATGAAGTAATCCACTTTTTTCAGGGAGGGAAGCTCCGGGGTGGGTGTAAAAGTTTGAAGCGAAATGGTTCACGCACCCCGGGGATTCCCTCCCCTTGCAAAAATTGGAATTTCTGTAGCCGGCAAGAACTGTCACGCCACATGCCCCTTATCGGAGGAGACCCTGCACCTGTATTTGAATATTTCTATCGAATTGAAAAAATTATAATGGCTTAAAGACCCGATATTGGTGAATCCCTTTCCGGGATGCGCCATGCATCGTCTTCCATACTAAATCGTAGGTGCATCTTGAACGCGATCTGGCTAATGATTTGCGGGAGTCAGACACCCTTCACACCAGTATTTTTCCCTCTCGGACAAATCTGGTTCCTATCCACTTACCCATGATTGAATTGAGGCTTGGTTGTTCCTTACAATGTTCAATCGAGGATTCGTACACATGCTGAGCAGCGTCACCTGCCTCTACTCTGTTTCCGCCGTACCAAAGAATTCCTCATGGATTATGATAGAAAGAACAGATAGTATGAATTTTTCGAAGTAAATTGTCTCCTTTTCAGGCTATTCTAGAAATTTCTCACAATATATGTTATTCAACTTGATGAACGTTTTGATGACTAACCTTTCTGCATCAGTTGGTGAGTTATGGCCTAGTTCCAGCTGAAATAGGATCAACTTTTTTTTGCAAAATTCGAAGTAAAATCTTCAGCTAGAAAACTGCGCAGGACTTTACATGGTATGTGTCAAGTGAGAGAAAGGGTCGTACTCGGTGATTGTCAGGAAGGAGGGGGAGGGATTAGGACTGTAGGAAAAAAAAAGATATCCTCAGGATTCTAAATTTTCCGCAATTCTGCAATTTTTGACATTTTTTTCATGATCTTTATACAAATAAATAAGTGAAAATATGAAAATGTATTTGAATATAGCACAACCTCTCACCCCTGGCATAGATCCAACTGTATCACCAAAATCACGCTTCCAATTTCGAATGGTGGGTCATAACTGCACTTGTCTTGAAGTGCAAAAACTTCCACCTATTCAGTTACGAAATGTGGCTCCAAGGGGAGCCTCTAAAAGCTATATTCGATTGAGACATTTTAGCATACGCCGCAGCATGCCTTTGTGGAGAACTGTCAGTCGCCGTTTCGTTCGTTCCGCTAATTCTCACACCTCTCTTTGTCTTCGGTGCGTTTGGTTCACATTTAAAGCGTAACGAGAATTCCTTAAGTCACTAACTACAAATTTCTTACAAGCAGCTTTTTTGAGAAGCAAGCTAAGTGTTCAACAGACGCATCAATATCTAATAAGGCAGTGCCCATGTAAGCTCACCCCGGTGGTTTCACCTTATAGTCAGCCACAGCTCTACTAGGATAACTGCATCTAAGAATACATTGTAGTCGCTTCAAGTACGACTATTTTCAATAATCACGAACACGACCCTTCCGCCCCCTCTCGTTGAACTCTGTCCAACCTTCTGCTGGTCCTGACTGAAACAAGACCGTTCATGGACCGTCTTGTTTCTTCACTGCAAGCCTTTTCCGGGTGATGCCCAAGTCCATACCTAAGTTCTGGAGGGTGCCTAAAGGTACATGCGATGGACATTGTTGTTAGTGCATTGCCGGGTCAGACAACCAGACATGAGCCAAAGGTAAAAGGATGTTGCGGGTGACTGAGAGTTATGTTAGGCCCTTTCAATAGCACCTCGCGCGGTTCAGTGGATCAGTAATGAGGAGGAAAACTATGTACAGAGAGAAGAGTTGAACGCCTTTATTGTATGGCTGCAAGAGAAGGTATACGTGATTGTAGTATCTGTTCTTGCTCCTACGGTAATATGGACCCGCCTACGACAGACGTGAGCTCGTGATGATAAGGGGAACTTTTTCTTTCATTGCTATGGAATTTATACCCACCCTTAGGTAGGGCCTCAGTTCCCGCGTTATTGTGAGGCATTCTTCCCTCGGTCCTTTTGTTGACTAGTGACGTGAATCTAGAATGCCTCGAGGGTTATACCCAGTACATTAGAAAATGCTCAGGCTTTCTCCTTGGGATAAACTGGAACGCAAGAAAAATTCGCTATTTCAGCTGGGTTTTTCGTTGATTTGAGATCTGTCCCATTATATTTCAAACCACTCACGTACATCTCCTGGTATAGGTATGCATATGAAGCTCATCTTATTCTTCTGCTGGAACCCATTGAAGAAATACCCGGTAAGCTATGTTCAGCTACTCATGTTCAGAGAACTAGCGCTATTTCTCAAGATTTCCTTCAAACCACTTGATCTCGACAAGTGCTTATTTGAAGGTTGTCCGTCGAGCAGTGAGAGTGATGCTTTCGTCTGTTCTGCAAAAAACGGCGATGAAGTAAGTGTACTTCTAAAGCTTTCTGCGAGCAGTGATGGCGTTGTGACAATTGTTGGGTTGAACCCCTCAAACCCTTCATACGTTTAGGGCCGTTTGAAGGCACAACCCGGGATAAATTTAGATGGATG